CAGTTACGCCTAATACAAAATTTTCTGAGAAGGTATAAATAAATGTTGGGAATCAAAATAGAGTTAATAGTTTCTTAAATATTTCTAATTTTCTTGTAAGAAAATGTGAATTTAATTTTAGCCGAAGCCTGTTTGGTTCAGTGGATAGAGCGTCGGCCTGTGGACTGAAGGGTCCCGGGTTCGATTCCGGTCAAGGGCGTGTGCCTGGGTTGCGGGCACATCCCCAGTGGGAGATGTGCAGGAGGCGGCTGATCGGTGTTTCTCTCCCCTCGATGTTTCTAACTCTCTATCTCTCTCTCCCTTCCTCTCTGTAAAAAATCAATAAAATATATTTTAAAAAAAGATTTTTTTAATTTTAGACTTAAGTAGGCCAGGTTTTGAAGCAAATTTGAGCTTTCATGTAATGCAATTCTACCTGCAGCTTTCCAGCCATTGTTTGACTGCAGTTAGTTGCCTTGGGATTTCCTCAGAAGCTTGACTTCATCTCTCCTCTGTAGTTTAGAGGCCATAGAGCAGCAGTGAAGGTTCTTATAATCATAATGCTTTCTTAAAGAGATGAAAGCATAACTAGTTCTAGTCTGCATACTACACAGTTAGGTGAGGTTTCAAAAATGTTTCATTTTTTTCAGTGACGAAACCAGATTACTAACTAGCTTATATTTATTTACTAAGATTATTAAAGTTAATGTAATAAAGAATCTTAAAACTTCAACTTAAAAAAAAAAGTCGCCTAAGCGACTGTTCAACCAGTAGCTATGTCATGCACTGACCACCAGGGGCAGACGCTCAGTGCACAGGCATGGAAACATGGAACAGACTGATGAATCTCAGAGGGAAGGGAGAAAGGAGAAGGGCGGGAAGAGATCAACCAAAGATCTTATATGCATAGTAGAGGCCTGGTGCATGGATTCGTGCACCGGTGGGGTCCCTCGGCCTGGCCTGTGGGGATCGGGCCGAAACTGGCAGTCCGACCAATATCCCCCGAGTGGTCCCGGATTGCGAGAAGGCGCAGGCCAGGCCAAGGGACCTCACCAGTGCATTGGGCCTCTAGTAAGAATAATAGAACATTACCCCCAGTTCTATTACTCTAAAATGTCAGTTATTTTCATTACTTTTTAGTGGTACCTTTTATTCTATTGTCTATCTCATCCATGCATGTGAACATTTTTAGTGAACATTTTCTATTACTCCTTATTCCTTAAGGAAAAAAACACAACAAACTCAACTAGAGTATATTGTTATCCTTTAAACTGGGAAACTTGCTTGCTAATCATTTTCTGAAGTTTATTGTTTGTGGGGAAAAAGTCAATACCTAGATAAAAATTCTTAAGTAAGTTGATAGTTTGTTTCTATGATATCTTGAGGATAAAATTGTCTTTTCTTTTGGAGTAATGATTTACCTAGAGGATATGTTTAAATTTCTCAAAAGATTTCTGAGCATTGAAGTCTGAAACGTCTCCTTGGGGATAACAGATTCTTCTTTCTTTCTCTGGACTGAATCTAAGTTTCGGTTTGTGAATGATATCAAGGGAAGTGCTACTGACAAATGTTTTTACTAATGGAAAAAAGAAGGGATAGAAGCTATTTAGCCTATAATTTGTGCTGATTAAAATATTTGTAATATGTTATCTTTAAACTATATATGGTACATTTGAAATATTGTTTCCTACTTTATTGAAATACTTGGTAAAATGAAGTGTGCTTATTTTTCCTCTTAAGAAGTAATACTCAAGTAAATAATACCTGTAATTAATGTAAGGATGTATCCTGTTTTAATAGGCATTAAGCATGATGGGACCATGTGTGATACCTGCCGCCAGCAACCAATCATTGGCATTCGATGGAAGTGTGCAGAGTGTACAAATTATGATTTGTGCACAGTTTGTTATCATGGAGATAAGCATCACTTAAGGCATCGCTTCTATAGAATTACTACACCTGGAAGTGAGCGGTATGAGAAATAGTTTTTTCTTCAGTTGCAATTTTTTGTTTGTATTAAAATTTTATACTACTCAGCCTTAAAAATAGGATTAGGAAAGCTTCTAAGAGCTAGTTTAGTCAGGAGGTAGCAGATAGCAGGCTAGAAGTGGACCAGGCTTGCCTCTGTGAAGACGAAGCTCTAAGTGTTTTTCCAAGATAATCTAGGTATTTTTCTCTCAATTAGAGACCTGGCACTACTCAGTACTTGGAAATGCAAGGGTAGCCCAAGAGAGACTGATTATTTTCTTCTTTACTTTTTTATTAACAAGCTGAAGTGTTTTTATTATTATTATTTTGTTGATTGTGTTTTTATTATTATTATTTTGTTGATTGATTTTTAGAGAACATTGATTTGTTGTTCCTATTATTTATGCATTCATTGGTTGATTTAAAAAAAGATCTTTTTAAAAAATATATTTTATTGATTTTTCACAGAGAGGAAGGGAAAGGGAGAGAGAGTCAGAAACATCGATGAGAGAGAAACATCAATCAGCCGCCTCCCGCACGCATCCCATTGGGGATGTGCCCGCAACCAAGGTACATGCCCCCGACCGGAACCGAACCTGGGACCCCCCCAGACCGCAGGCTGACGCTCCATCCACTGAGCCAAACCAGTTAGGGCTGGTTGAATTCTTATATGTGCCCTAACGGGGGATTGAACACCGAACCTTGGACGTTACGCTAAGCAACTGAGCCACCCGTCTAGGGCTGATTATTTTCTTCTTGCTATACCTTCTATTCTGTTAATTGCTACCTCTAGGGCTCATTGATTCACTCAAGAGGCATTTATTAAGACTTTGAGGCAGCTACTATGCTTGTGTAAATTTGAAGGTAAAGTACAGTATTCTTAAAGAGTTTTCATGTTAAGGGATTATTTGATCAACAGTGATTATCATGTGATGTTTTATACTCTATGTAGGAATATGTACTGTCTTAGGAGTAAGAGAGAGGAGTGTTAATTGTGAATGGGCATAGAGTTTCAGGTAATTTAGTCTTATGTAGATATGAGAGAGCGCCGAATCCTAACCACTAGACCACCAGGGAACCTTTATGTAGATATGGATAATGCATAGGAGCACGAATCTAGCCAGTCATAGGGAAGCAGCAGAAATAATAGAAAAATGGATTTTGGTGACCTGGTTTCTCAGTTCAAATCATGGTCCTGCCATTTATTAACTAAGTAATTTGGAACAAGTTATTTATTTTTGTCTTTTGTTTATAATTTTTAAAAATTAGAGTATAATAAAGATATTCTAAAAATGAATAGAATAATGAGATGAAAGCAGAAAAGCAAAAGGAAAAAAATCCCAAATCTTTTTGGTTTTATGAATGAGAAGGATGCAGAATATGGGTAGATGCTCAGAAAACCCAGCTGGTCCAGATAATTGAGTTTAGAATCTTTTTCAAGGTCCACAGTCTTCTGTAGGTATGCAGAACTTTGGAGGGAGTTTAATGCAGGTCAAATCTAGGCCACAGATGTATTTTACTTGACATATACCATGTTCCAAAATTTTGAACAATTGTTAACCTTTTGAAATTGGGTGATTTCACACAGAAATCTAAGTTTATGAATTCTTAAAACATGCACACATTCACACACACTCTCACACTTATGTGCACACTCCCCCAGAAAACTTAGCACTGAGCCTACGTTTGTTCATGGCAAGAGTTAGCTGAAGCACAGGAAGCACCTGTACCCTGTAGACAAATCTGTGCTTGAGTTCACTAAAGTCCCTACCACTCCCTGTTGTCTTCCTAAATAAGCCTGAGGTAAAGTGCCACTTGCCATTTTTCATTTCTGTGGCGCTGTTTTTCTTAGGAACTCGTTTATATTATTTGCCTAACAGTTGTATTTGATTTGAGTTTGCTATCTCTAAAGCAGTGAAGAGGATAGTGATACTTTGAAGTGATTAGACTGGGTTCATATGTGGATTTCATTACTATTTAAAAAACCTTTTATATTTTCAAAATAGCCTTTTATATACTGTTGTTAAAAAATAATGTTACCTATTTTTAAACAAGTTTGAAATCATTTTATTTTCAGGGTTCTATTGGAATCTCGCAGAAAATCTAAGAAGATTACAGCCAGAGGGATCTTTGCAGGTGCCAGAGTGGTACGAGGAGTAGACTGGCAATGGGAAGATCAGGATGGAGGAAATGGACGTAGGGGGAAGGTAAAACTTTTTTCTTATTTCATCATGTTATTCTAGAATATAGTATGTCAGGAGATTTTTATTTATTACTATAATTGAATTTTGTGGCACATTTTTTTCTATGCCAGGAGCAATTTTTTAAATCTTTTTTTTTTTTTTTTAATGTGCTTCAGGCATGAAACAACTCTGGCCACTGACAAAGGCATCAAGCTAGGATGAACTAAGGACTGTACATCTGCTTTGCCCTTGACTGATATAAGAATTTTTTAAATCTTAATTTCTCTTTTTTCTTGAAAGAAAAAAGGTTGTTCCTGCTCCATTGTAAATATTGGTATGTCTTGAGAAAGTTGTTGGGTAGATTTTACCTTTCTACTTTGAGGCTTCAATATTGCCACTTTTTGCCCAGAATGCCTTTCTAAACAATCTGTTTGGGTCAGTCCTCCCTGAGCTTTACCTAACACTCTTAACTTTCTTGCTATTACAATTTCACTTGTTTAGTATATTCTATTCTTTCAAAGACCTGAGTCTAGGGCAGTGATGGCGAACCTTTTGAGCTCGGCATGTCAGCATTTGAAAAACCCTAACTTAACTCTGGTGCTGTGTCACCTATAGAAATTTTTTGATATTTGCAACCATAGTAAAACAAAGACTTATATTTTTGATATTTATTTTATATATTTAAATGCCATTTAACAAAGAAAAATCAACCAAAAAAATGAGTTCGCGTGTCACCTCTGACACGCGTGTCATAGGTTCGCCATCACTGGTCTAGGGGATAATAAGCAGCTACTTTGTTACCTAGTCCACTTAACTCTTGTTACTCTTCTCAGGTAGTGTATAGAGCTATTTAGGGTCAATTTTAGCAGTTATTCTGAAGGGAATTGTGTAGAGCCTGTTTCACTGGGGTGGGATAGCCAGAGATACTAGGCTAAATGGGTTGTTGGATTTATTTATTTCGGATTTTATGTTGCTTTTGCTAATCATTCATTGATTCAGTCAAAAAATTTGTGTTGAATTTTGTATACTCTGTGTTATCCTAAATGCTAGATGCACTGAAATAAATAACATTTCACATTTGAGACTTTTTATCATTGAGGAATGATTATTTTTTTTACTTTAAATAATGTTTTTATTTTTCAGTTACAGTAGACATACATTATATTAGTTTCAAGTGTATATGCCAGTAATTAGACATTATATAACTTACTAAGTGATTACCACAATTAATCTAGTACCCGTCTAACACCATACATAGTTATTACAATATTATTGACTGTATTCCCTATGTTGTACTTTACATCCCCATGACTATTCTGTAACTGCCAATTTATACTTCTTAATGCCTTCACCTTTTCCATTCATTTCCCCAGCCCTCTCCCATCAGACAACCATCAAAATGTTCAGTCTATGAGTCTTTCTGTTCTGCTTGTTCATTTATTTTTCTCTTTAGATTCTAAGTCTAAGTGAAATCATATGGCATTTGTCTTCCTCTGTCTGACTTATTTCATTTAGCACAATATCCTATAGCTACAGCCATATTGTTGCAGATGGCAAGATTTCATTCTTTTTTATGACTGAGTCATATTCCATTGTATATATGCACTATTTCCACTTTATCCATTCATCTTAGGCTGCTTCCATATCATGGCTATTATAAATAATGCTGCAATGATATAGGTGCATATGTCTTTTTGATTTAGTTAAAAAAAAAAAAAAAATTCCCAGAAGTGGAATTGCTGGTTCCTTCTTTTCTTGTGTTATATAGCCTTTGTTTTAAAGTCTATTTAGTTGGTATAAATATTGCTATTTTAGCCTTTTTTTGTTTTCATTTTCATAAAATACCTTTTTCTATACCTTTATTTTCAGTCTGTGTGTGTCTTTCAATCTGAAGGGAATCTCATGTAGACAATATATGTAAGGGTCTTGTTTTGTTATCCATTCAGCCATTACATGTCTTTTGATTGGAGCATTTAATACATTTGCATTTAAAATAATTGGTGATAGATATGTATTTATTGTCATTTTATTATCCATGTTTTAGACCTTTTTCTTTTTAAAGATCCTTTAACAATTAGTGTATTACTAGTGTGGTGATGTCATCACTCCTTCAGCTTTTTTTTTTGTTTGGGGAGCTCTTTATATGTCCTTTTATTCTAAATGATAGCTTTGCTGGGTAGAGTAATCTTGGTTATAGGTCCTTGCTTTTTATCACTTTGAATATTTCTTGCTACTATCTTCTGGCCTGCAAAGTTTCTGTTGAGAAATCAGCTGACAGTCTGATGGGAGCTCCCTTGTAGGTAACTAACTGCTTTTCTCTTGCAGTTTTTCAGATTCTGTCTTTTTCTTTGATTTTTGGCATTTTAATTATGGTGTACCATGGTGTGGTCCTCTTTGGGTTCATCTTGTTTGGAACACTCTGTGCTTCTTCTTGGACTTGTATGTCTATTTCCTTCACCAGATTAGGGAAGTTTTCTGTCATTATCACTGTTGATTCCCTGTAATGTATTCTTCATTACACTTAGGTCCTCATTTCTTACTGTTTCTTTATGTTTTCTAGTTCCGTTTTTATGTTTCTTATCTTTGTTGAAGTTCTCAGTAAGTTCATCTTC